TTATATCAATTGTTGGTTTTTTAAAGAGAAGAGACGAAAGAAAACAAAGTAAAGACTGAAATTGCTGAGAAAATGACTACTAAAATTTCCTTTGCTGCATATTCAAGTAGTCACTTCTTTTAGGATCTTTGGCCATATATCTTGACGGCTTGTTTTGAAAATTTATTTGAGAACAATGTATGACCAGTTTCTTAAAAACAATATCTGAATTTTTTTTTACAAGTTCCCAAAACAGTTTTTGGGTGAAAAACTTCGTTTCACTCACAAAACTTCAGCTTTTTTTTTCTAAATAGAATGCATGTCCAAATACAACTTTACCTTCAAAAAATATCTTTTAACACAAACTTCAACCAAATCTATGTCCAAACGCTAGCTTAACAATTTCAGTCTTATTTTATTTTTTTCCTTCAAAAACCAACAATCGGCATGTTTTGCTTAGAAGAAGAAGCAATAAGAGGCCCTTCGTTTTACAAGCAAGAATAAACAAACTGATGGTAATACTAATACTATTCTGTTCTTAAAAATTGTCATTCTCTATCTTTTACATATCAATTTTGTGGATTCTTTTGTCTCATTCTTGTATATTTTTTTAATGTGATTGGCACTGATTGAAGAGTTAACCAAACTTTCTAATGCCTTCTTTTTTAGTAACAAAAGAATTTTATTTAAAAGAAACTACTCTATGAGATTAGCCTGAGCAACGAAGTACTTACTCGGTCTCACAAAAAGAGAAATAACAAAAGCGGGAAGAACATAGTACGTACATCAAATAACGTTTCTACAATCAACCAGCATTACCTATTAAGGTATGATTTCCATATTCATGTACCACTTCAAGAAGATTTTTGGTATCCAGTTGAAAATAGGAATATTTAATTTTTAAAGTTTAATATAAGGCCATTGATTCCATATGGCCAAATTTGCATTCATAAAACGATAAATTGAATAATCGATAAATCACAATATGATATGCAATTAAAAAGTCATTTTTTGATATTCACACTTGCTTTACATAGACTTCGGTCCTAGACTGTTGATATTAGGCTAAAAATCCATGTTTTGCATGTAATTTGCGTTGCATTATGCCTCGATCTTGTTAATTTTAGTGTGAATATTTGTGACTCGAACTTAATAATGGTATTTATATGTGTAGGAGTCAAGTTGAAGTAATTTGGTAAGCTTGCATGCAAATGAAAATAAAAACAAAAGAATTTGAAAAAAATATGACTTTGGTGCCGAGATTCGCGCCAGGCACCAACCAAAACCCGAAGGGCAACCACTACATTATGCTTCCCTTATTTTTCAAGAAAATGTAACTTCTTGATACCTTGGCGGCTTGGCCAGTTATTATCTATCAGCCATTTTTTATACTTGCAGTAATAAATCATGCCATCAAACACTACAAGAGGTAAATAAATAAAAATTTCCCCACACATGCCTCTAAAAAGTCGGGTGATTTACAAGAATGGCCTCAAGAGGGGTGGTTTTGAACTTTTGACTCCGCTTGTTTCATGCGGCAAATCTTCAAGTTTAACAATTTTTAGCCCATGGGCAAGACTTCTTACTTTTTAACTTTGAAAGTTTGCTCAAAATGAGGGGTCAAACGCTCACGGCCATCCGTTTTCAGGGCATCTCCAACCTTTATCCCATTTTTGGTCCTCAAAATAGGGATTTCTTCATTTTGGAACAACTTATTCCTCCAACCATTCCCCCATTTTCTTCCCCACACTTTTTTATATTCTTCTCTCTCTTCTATATTATATTATATTATTATCTTTCATTTCAATTTTATTTTTTTAATTTCCATTAAACAAATATCTTTTATTTTCATTAATTTGTAATTTTTATTAAAACAATTCCATAAAATTCTAAATAATATAATTTATAAGCAATTATTATAAATTAACTAATAATTCAAATAAAAGTGAAATAGTTGTGATACAAGATTAATTAAATACATATTATATAACGATAAAATTCATTCGAAATACTACATAAATATTCAACTTCAACCTCAAGTATCTCCCATAAATGATCTATTAATGCATTACGAAGTGCAAAATTAGCATCTTTGTCCTTAATTCTTCTATATCGAGCTAAAAATTCTTGAAATCATTGATTTTCATCTACTGCCATTTCTATTGTTAGAGGTGGACCTTCCAAATCATCTTGAATTGGTGCATTAAGATCACTCTCATTCTCGATTATCATGTTGTGTAGTATAATACATGTAGTCATTATATCATGTAGTACTTCTTTTTGCCAAAAACGTGAGGATCCTGCAACAGTTGCAAAACGTTGTGAATTTAATGATGGATGTGCGTTCTATTGTCGATCCGACTCGTCGTGAATTTATACGACAAGAACAACAACGAATAATGTATAAAAGAAGTCAAGAATATCCACAGCCACAACCACAACAATCCTCAGCCCCATTCACTCAATACTATAATGATTTTGGTGTATCTTGAAACGACATAACACCCTACTAAGTTATTATGCTATTTACCGTAGTTTTAATTTTTATGTATTTTAATTTAATGTATTTTCAATTGTCATGTATTTCCAATTTTAATGTATTTTCAATTTTTACTTTTTAATTTTAGCAACATCTAATATTTTATATTCGCACCTTTCAATTTTAGTAACGTCTAATATTTTATATTTGCACCATTCATTTTGGGATAATTATATATTTTTTGTACAATTATAACTTGTAATAAAATTAACCTACAATTTTACATAAAAATAATAAATGCACGAAAATTAATTTATCAAAATTATACGCCAAAGTTAAGATGTAAAATTAACATTATAAAGATATTACATAAACATAATTATGTATATATAAAGAGACAAATTAAAAGATTAAATAATAAAATATACATGAATAATAATGGGGGAGATGAATAGTGTACCCCCATATTTGAGGGAACACTATTCATCCCCATTTTGGAGGCAAAAAAGGGGAGGATTGGAGCATCATTACCCAAAAATTGCACCCATTATGGAGAAATGGGGTAAGGTCGAAGATGGCCTCAAAATTATTGGATGTAATTTTTATGCTTAAAATCCACTATAAGAGTTGAAAGGATATATGTCATGTACGGGGGTACTTAAGAATGAAGAAGTCTTAAGTAAAACTCTTACTATTACCCAAGAAACTGAAATAATAAACTTTTTCTTTTACATTTTTTTGGTCGAAACAAAAATAAAGGACAAGAAGAGAAAACTTAAGTGGGCGATAAGATTATTTTTAAACTTAATTTTCATATAATTTTGAGCAAGAATGACGGAGAAAATAAAACACCAGCTATGAGAAATAAGTTTTCAACAATACAACGCAAAAAAGGTGTTAGACGACCAGTTTTTAAAACCATTTTTTATTATTTAACTGCCTTTTGATATGTAGTTAAAAAATAATTATATCTTAATGCGAAGATAAAATTATTTGGGCAAAATTTATTCCACTAGCCAAAATATAAGAAAAAGTCACTAGAGCATGTTCGAGTTTCAAACTTTTACAAGTAAAACTCCAAAGAATATTAAAAAAACTCCATTTGTGTGGAACTCCAGAACAAGGTTTCCTCGTGAACTCATTTTTCATCAATTGGAGGAAAGTGTTTTCTCTATCAAGATAAGTGTTCTCCACCCTATTCTAGAAAAACATTTTTCACGGAAATTATTTTCCTTCATACCAAACACACCCTAAATGTTGAAAAGTTTGGAACATTAGCAAAATTTAATTAGCGCGGCAAATGGGATAAATATCAAATATCTCGGGACCTCAGTGTTGTTTTTTGGCTAGCTTGAGTTCGTAACTTTACTATGTATCATTAAACATAGAAGAAAAGGAGAATTTTAGAAAAAAAAAAAAATCTTTTTTTAGATCTTTTTCCCCTTACTCTTTAATATCATCGAATTTTTTTTGATATCACTATAGATCGTGTATAAACGGCCTATAAAGTGGTTATTTGTCTATTTTTTTTAAACCCAATACAACATTCCCCCTATTCTCAGCCTCTCAAATGTACATTGTACATTTGGATAACGTCGATATTGACGGTTTAGATTTCTCAACAATTATCCTCAATCGTGTATCCGCCGATGTATATATTTCTTCTCCTTTCACCTTTTATAGTCCTTATCGATTAGCTTCTCTCGTATCCTCGGTGATTAAATTTCAGGATCGGAGTAGGTATGTTAAATATACTTCGATTTAAATTTTCATTAGTTGGACTAAAAATGCTTACTTTTTATAAACTTAAGAATTATATATGTCCAAAATAACACAATAAGAATAGAATTAGATTTACCCCAAAACTACTTTGGGTCGAAAACTCAAAACTTTTTTCTCTTTAAGTTGAAGTCTTCTTAAAAGACAAATCATAATGTGGGTCCGTAATTTCATATATCAGGCCCAACCTTTTGAATGCCACGTATGCCTCCAGGTCCAGTTCAGGGGCAATTATTCCTTGTTGCTCATCTCCTCAAATACAACACTCCTTCTTCTCAATCTCTCAAATATAAACCGTTGATTCAAAGAAAGTCAAACGTTGACGGTCCAGATCTCTTACCCGTCATCCTCAATCGTGCATCCCACCATCGTATATATTTCTACTCCCTTCACCTTTTATAGATCTCGCCGGTTACCTTCTTCCGTACACTCGACGGTAAAATCCCGTTCAAATTTTCCGATCAGACTTCGTTGGAGCCGGTACACTGAAAATACTCCGATCGTATACCTATGTATGTAATGCTTATATCTGTATATTTCGCCACTGCATGCCGGAGTGCTAGGGTTAGGGTTCCATTTATGTCAACGTTTAATGAACTGAAGTGCATTGAATTGAAAATGTTAGAGTTTTGTTTGGTTTCAGAGAAATTGATGCAAAATTGTATGAGCATTTGTTACAAATTAGAGTTTAATAAATTTTAGCTAAGTGAATGACTGTAATTTTTGGTGCTTTTAACGTTGTTGCAGTTGCAATGAGTGGTTTGACTATGTGAAAGGTGCTTATTTGTTACTGTGAGAAGCTCGTGCAGAGAGGAGAGTGCATAAATTGGTTTTGCCAATGATAAAATTCATTCTTTTTGGTCCTCGGGGCTTAGTTCAGTTGCCAAAGGTTGAGGAACTCGTGACTCAGGTCACATATTTGAGCCCTGCGCCATCCAAACTAAGCCTGGTATTTAAGTGGAGAAGGGTGGAGGGGCGGGCCATTATCCCCGAGTTTAGAAGGTTGCGGTTGGTCCTAAGGGTTCTTCTCAGACGGATTTCTCGGTCATAAAAGTAAATTTCATGCATTGTGAATTTCTATTTGTGTTGCATGTTATATGAGAATCAATGCACAAGGTATTTTGCTATTAGGAGGAACTAGGAGGAATCAAATTGCTAGGAAATGAACCCACAGTGAAGTGGTCTCATAGGTCAATCGCGGTCTGCTTTGTTTTCCACTCTAGTTTATGATGTTCGTTCGTCTATTTTATGGAACACCCACCTTTTTAGTTATTTAAATTATAGGACACATTCTTCGACACAACTGTGCATTTTAGGGATACCGATACTGCATTTGCTTGTCAATAATAAGTTTCGGTAATGTGAAGATGAATAAACAATAATTTTTATTTATCCAATTTGTCTTTCATCCTCCCTTCCGAATCAACTACAATTCATAATCGGAATTTGATGTCAATTTAGGTTAAAATGAATATCAGGCAATAGCACAAAAGAGGGGGGGGGGGGGGGATCTAGTCTTTTGTGGAGCAACATAGGTCATTATCCCTTCTCCACGTACTTGCTTGACTATGGAAATATTAATCAATGTCTTAGGAAGTATCATCAGATTAGATCAACTGTAGACGTGGTACTCCCATTGTCGAATCATATTGTTTCTTTGTCAAAAATTCTTAATGTTCGTAGTTCATTCCTCTTAGATAAGCTTAGGTTGGTCATTATGCTTTCATAAACTAGAACTAAGATCTTTTAGGGGGCAGGTCTTGAATTTTAAGCACTATGTTAAGATTTCCCAAGCATTATACCAAATTCTTGCAATTGTCATCTCGTGCAACTGATGAACAGAGTATCGTTTTAGGGAGAAGGAGATTGATTCAAAATAAAACTTGGAGAGTAGATACTTGATAAGCCATAATTACAGTTTACAACTTGTCTCAAGCTGTTGTTGACACTGTCATTGTATTGTTGATACCCTACAAGCTAGTACTACAGTTTACAATTGTCCCGAACATGGAGAGGTAGATCCATAAGGCTAGTATTATGGTTTACAACTCGTCTCAAGCTTGGAGAGGTAGATACTTGATAAGCTAGTAGCCTAGTAGTAGTGGGCTGTTTTTAAGATTTATTATTGATTCAACACATCTCTGAATTAAGTTTAGGTTCCTTAAAGTTTTTAATATTCAAGTTAATTTCATAAGTTTTTGCTAAATGTTCTGTCTTATATCCTTGATCTCAAATAGACGCTGAGTCGGAAAAGGAAAGTTGGGAAGGGATATAATTCACTATTGATTAACCTTGCATTTCCCCTTTGGTAACTAGATTATAGTTTCAATAAGAATGCTTTCCTCAGATCTTTTTGTTGTACTCCTTGCAGATCTTGCAGTTCTGAGTGGCAAAGCGATTCCATATGAAATGGCTTATGATAACTCCTCCACGCTTGAGCCTAAACGTTCCCATCAATGGTTCATGGATGGTGTCGAGCCTGAATTGCTTCCCAACAAGAAGCAAGCCACTGAAGTACCTAATCATAGTTCGTTCGCTGGACTTTTAAGTTCCAACATTGCTCCGTGGATGAACACTTCTGGTTTCCACTCAGTTCCAGGCCAATATGCAGAAAGGCACTTTGATGATGAAAGTGCAAGATCGGTCAACTTTGATGACAGAAGTGTTCCATCCGTTGGCATTGGCAACATTAATGTGGCTAGAAAGGTGATGGAAGATTCATTTGGAAGTGATTCCTCGTTTGGTTTATCCATATCCCATTCAATGGAGGATCCTAGATCAGGTCTTAACTATGGTGGTATCAGAAAGGTCAAAGTCAACCAGGTGAAGGAGGCTGAGAATTTCATGCCTGTGTCAATGGGTGATACCTACACCAGAGTGATCAGCAATGCAATGTCAACAGATCATGCTTTTACTAAGGCTGAGGATAGTTGCATAGCTATGGGGCTCTCTTTTAACGGAGGTGATGATCATATGATGTCGTTAGGTGACACCTTTAATAGGGAGGATAACAACTTCATATCTATGGGTCAACCTTTTAACAAAGTGGAGAGCAACTCACTATCAGTGAGTCACCCTTTCTGTAAAGATGAAAGCAATATTACTATGCTGAGTCAAAGTTTTAGCAGAGAGGATGATAGCACTATATCAGCGAGTCACTCATTCAAGGACAATAATACTGCTATATCAATGGATCAGTCATTTAGTAATGATGATAGCAATATTACTTCAATTTGCCAAACTCTTAGTAAGGTCGCTGACACCAATCCACCCATGAGCCACTGCTACAGCAGAGTCAATGACAATACAATATCAGTGAGTCAGACCTATAGCAAAGTTGAAAACAATAATTTGTCAATGAGCCAATCTTTTGGCAGGGGAGAAAGCAATATCATATCTTTTGGTGGATTCAATGATGATGACGATATAAATTCTTCTGGAAGGCTGATTTGCAGTTATGACTTATTAATGAGTCAGTCTTCAGGCCAACAATCGGATATTATGACTGGAAAGCGATTGGTTGAGTCAAATGCCGATACAGTTACAAGTGCTACTCAAATGGCTGGCAATAATGAAGTTATTTCTAAAAAGGAGGAGCAGAAAGCAGCTAAAAAGCCTCCTTCGAACAGCTTCCCTTCAAATGTGAGAAGCTTGCTCTCAACTGGTATGTTAGATGGAGTATCTGTCAAGTATATAGCTTGGTCTAGAGAGGTAAACTTTACTTTTATGAGTCTTATCTTTGAAACTGTGATGCTCAGTATATGACATTGTTCTTCCTTTGCATGGTAGAAGGAGCTCCGTGGTATTATAAAAGGTTCTGGTTACCTCTGTAGCTGTCAGTCATGTAACTTTTCCAAGGTACATTTGTTGCCAATTTTCGTTATTGCAGGACTAACTTGCTGTACAATTTACTGATTAAATGTGGTGTAACTTCTATGTGTAGGCAATTAATGCTTATGAGTTTGAGCGCCATGCCGGTTGTAAGACAAAACACCCTAATAATCATATATACTTTGAAAATGGGAAGACAATCTATGGGATTGTTCAGGAGCTCAGGAACACACCTCAGGATTTATTATTTGAAGTTATTCAGACAATTACTGGATCGTCTATTAACCAAAAATCATTTCGCATCTGGAAAGGTGCCTTAAATCAATGAACTGAGCTGTTTCATATTCTAGAATGTTTATTTTTTTTAAATTAAGTTAGCATTGGTTATACAATTTTAATGCCTTTTTCCTGTCTTCAGAATCTTTTCTAGCTGCGACACGTGAACTTCAGCGTATATATGGGAAGGATGAGGTCAGGCGACTGTCATAAAGAGGAATCCATATGCAAGGTATTATGCAAAGACGTGACTGCAGCTCTGCCTACAATATCATATAAATATGTGCTCTTTAATACTTTGCGACCCTATAAACCATGGTTGATCTAGAGCAGTTTTTTGGTACTCTGGGAAAAATACTGAACGAATTCATGATACGTCCTTCACAACGTGCATATGCATAACTTATGATTTTGTTTTCTACATTAAGTTTGCCTGACGATGTATAACTTCCTGAAAATATATTCAGCCAATTGATGATTTAATTGTCAATTGTCATCTTGTGCCCATAGACTGTAATTATCCTGTTAACTCATATAGGAAGATACCAATGTTCATGATGCCACTCGTATGGATATATATTTAGAAGTGAGTAGGAGTTCTCTTATTTATTAGAAATAGGAATAACGTGCCAACCATTTAACCTACAAAATCTAGATCTGTTTCTTTTTTACTTGGATGTAGGATGGTGCTAATATGGCTGATCCACTGGCATTCCCCACCTAGCCAACTCAAGGATCTCAAAGTGAATATTCACCAAATTTGTTTATTAAGTCAAATTAATTTGTCATGTCCGCAGAAGCTTTAAATTTACATGGGCAAAGTTGGGAGTGGTTCCAAGGTGGTGACTGCAAAGGAAACATACTGGTACAAGATTTTGGTATAATTTGAAGTGGTGAAGTCATTAGAGATATACAGTTTGATGAGAAGAGATATACAATATGTTGGTGAAAGTGATTAGAGACAAATTCGACTATGTGGTGACCCTTAAAAATGCAACTTTTAAAATACAAATTCGACTATGTGGTGAAAGTGATAAAAGACATTGATAATGGATGAGATAATTCTTATGATTTTAGTTTCTTAATTGAAAAATGGACAAATTTGCCACTATTCAGTGAACCGTGATCTCTGCCTATGTTTTGGATTCATGTTTTTAATGCCTCAACATTTCTTTTCCCATCACCCTAGCCGTATTTTAAAAGCAAGAAAAATAAGAAAATAATACTTGTCTTAGTGGGCGTTTGGACATAAGAATTGTAAAATTCCAAAAGAATTTGGATGAGTGCCTCTACACAATGAAGACAAAGATCAAACACCTTTTCATTTCACTGATACAAGTGATACTCCCTCGTCCCATTTATTTGACATGGTCTCCTTGACGTGGAATTTAAAATGCTAGTTTGATGTCTATATCATATTATATTGGAAGTAATTAAAGAAAATATTAAAGTAGTAGTTGAAAAGTTTTCAAATGAAACGAATTGTAGTGAGGATCATATAGCTAATCCCAGCTAGTTTGGATTGAAGCAAAGTAGTTGTTTTGGCACAAGTCGAAAAGTTAGTTTATAGGAAGAAATATGACATTAAAGATTAGAGTACATTCGTGTTGTCAAAGCCTCATTTAAGGCGCACTTAAGCCCCGAAGCTCAGAAAAGCTCAGGGAGGGCGCTTCACCTCGCTTCAGCTGCGCTTCAATGTAGTCAAGGCACTAAGGTGTGCGCCTCATTGCCCATGAGTTCTATCTTGAATCGAGCGGGTACTAACGACAATATATCGGCAAATAAGTGTATTAGTTGTTGACGAAGACATTAGGAATGAGTTTGTTTCTTTTTCTTGAATTACATATGTATTTTTATTTTTTTCCTTAGTTGCACCTTTTTTAATTAAAGCCCGCACTTTAGTTGCACTTTGCACTTAAATCCCTAATCGACCTGGAGTGCTTTTTAGAGCTTTTCGCTTTTGACAACACTGAGTACATTAGTTCATTAATATGAATCTTTATTTGGCGAACATCGGTATGGAAGAATGTTTTGGTTCTTATTAGAAGCGTGTCAATCTTTTGAGACGTCCAAACCTGGAAGTTTGTCACATACGTTTATGAGCAATAGATACCTCATTTTTATATTGATAAAACCGAGACTTTAGTACTTGAAAATTTTGTGGCTCAAAGTGCTTAATGGTGGAAGTTTCAATCTTTAAATTGCAATATTTGTTTCAAGAAGCGTCAATAGTATGCCTTTGAGTATGCTTGATATGGTTTTGATTTTTAAATAATTCATCATTTCGGCATGCTCTTCATTCCCGTAACAAATTGTGATGTCTGGAAGGGATGAGATAGTTTTGTCCTGTTAAACATGTGAGATAATTAGTTTTAGGTTCATGACTCGCTTTTTGATATCTTTGGAAGGTCGAAGACTGGTCAAAAATTGGTGAGGACCTAAATTGAGCAAGTTTCAGACTCCATTACCCCCACATCTCTGGTTTAGTAATTTGGTTGCCCTACATTCATATTCATCTCCACCCCTCCACCGCC